CAGCTGCCTTTAACATAAAGAAGTAAATATGGAAAGCATTTCCATTAGAAGTTCTGGGCTACAGAATATTGTATGTGCTTCTGTCCTGGGCCACGCCTTGCCACCCCCACTTATTTCCCCAGGCTAGCCCAGCAAACCAGTGCTGTCCAAACACCTGACCACTCTTCTCTAGGTGCCAGACACTGCAGTTCCTTGATCAGTGGACGATGCAACTGGTAGTGTATTTATTTGTAGGAAGCTTGTGGCTCTCTTCCTCCCCCAAGATTCATTCTCCTGCAAGGGAGTGTAGAGTGCTGACTCCCCATGTTGTCTGGAATGCAATTCTCCTACCTGACATCAACAGCTTCTTCAGGAAGTTTTGTAAGGTAAATCTCTGGTGCATCAGGTTGTGTCTTTGGATTCCTTCTGAGTTCCCCCTCTCATGGGCTGCATCCCTCAATGAGCCAGCCTATCCCAACCTATACCAGTTAGTAGAATGGAGCAGGAGATGCCTACCCAGGGCTGGATCTAGGACAATGCAGCATTAGCATGACCCAGAGAGCTCTAAACTATGAATTTTGTGTTTATAATTTTTTAAAAAGTTACAATACTAATATATTATGTACTTTATTACATATGTATAGATATAGAAATTAAAGATATGAGATATAAAAAATGAATCAAAAGAAGAAAATTTTAGTATTTTCTTTTTGTACCCCTGGGGCCATTTTGGGGGTACATTGCATCATTTTGAAGACCTCTGAAAACCAATGCTATCAAATTGTGCTTGAAAGCAGTGTGAGGTAGTAGTTAAAAGGTAGACTCAGGAGTCAGCTGGCTTGGCTATGAACCCTGGCTCCATCACCTCCTAGCTGGATGACAACCTCAATATCATTTTCTTTAAAACATGAATATGCCCTAGCTGGTTTTGCCCAGTGGGTAGAGCATCAGCCTGTGGACTAAAGGATCCCAGGTTCAATTTCAGTCAAAGGTACATCTCTGGGTTGTGGACTCGATCCCCAGTTGGGGGCATGCAGGGGCAGCTGATCAATGATTCTCTCTCATCATTGATGTTTTTATCTCTCTCTCCCTCTCCCTTCCTCTGAAATCAATTAAAAAAAAACTTAAAAAAAAAACTTAAGCTAGAGATTCTCTAAAATAAATGAAAAATAAGACATGAATAGTAAGAGTGCACATCTCACATATTCTTAGAAAGGTTAATATAAAACATTGAAATAAATGGCATTTATCAATTAACTTGATAAATGTTATTTTCCTCAGTGCCACTGTTAAAAATAATGTAAAATACATACACACACACAAGACAAAACGAAAACACCAGATGGGAGGAAAAGGAAAGAAAAGCCTGGAGGGATGTCCTAAGAAAGATGACCCCCAATCTGACTTCACATTTTCCTGCAATGCATACGAGTTTGCTGGATGAAGGTCATAGTGATGAATTGGCTCCGCCTTTTCTTAAACTAGTAAAACTTTTTCATAGATGCTGCTCTTTGCTCTTATGTCTCTTTTCTGTCTTCATCTAACTCCTTTCCAGAGTTTCTATATTAACTCCAGGGGCTTTTCTGTCTCTTGCCCAGAGCAGCGATTTTTCAACTTTTTTCTTTTAATCTCATGGCACACATAAGCTAATTACTAAAATTCAGCAGCACATCAAAAATATATATTTTTGCCGATCTGACCAAAAAAAGGTATAATTTTGAGTCATTTATACTGGATGGCTATTGTTTGTTTGCTGTCATTTTTTAAAAATTTTATTTTACAATCTAAGGGAAAAGAGGTTGGTAACCCTGACTAAATAGTCAGGTATTGCATATGTTAAAAATTCTTGAGGCACACTGGCTGAAAATTGCTGACCTGGAGTAATGTCATTTAATAGGTGATGTTTGCATACTCTCCCTTATGTGTCTTCAATTATCCCCATAATCAATGTGAAATCAACCAAAAGGTAAGACCACCCACTTCCCCCTGTCATGGGTGGTGAGGGAACCCTTTTCTGTTCCAGAAGAATAGGCAGAAGTCCTTGGGGCAGGCCCTTCTTGCTTCTTTTGCTCTGCCCTAGTCTTCCTGCTTTGATATGTTCACAGAGCCTAGAACTATAGTCAGTGGCCACCTTGCAACCACAAGGATGAAAGTGGTTTGTAGGCTGAGAAGAGGCCTGGTTTACTGAAGATTTCCCTGAATGGCTATGCCACCTCTGGATTTTTATATTAAAAATATATACCTCCTGCTGAAACCGGTTTGGCTCAGTGGTAGAGCGTCGGTCTGCAGACTGAAAGGTCCCAGGTTCGATTCCGGTCAAGGGCATCTACATTTGTTGCGAGCACATCCCTGGTAGAGGATGTGCAAGAGGCAGCTGGTCGATGTTTCTCTCTCATGACGTTTCTAGCTCTTTATCTCTCTCCCTTCCTCCTCTCTGTAAAATATCAATAAAATATATTAAAAAAATAATAAAAATAAAATAAAATAAAAATAAAAATATATACCTCCCAACCCATTGTTGAGCTGTTGTTTGTTGGAGTTCCTATAACTTGCTGCCAAACACATTCACACGTCTGAATTAGTTTCGTCAGGAAGGGCTGTGTAATAGTGGTGAAAGAAGAAAAGTCAATGGGGAGCAGAAGGCCCCTTGATTTGCTCTGGACATCCAAACCCAGTAACTCCTCCAAAGCTTGCACTACTCTGGTGTTGGTAATTGCTGCCATCTAGTGGCAATGCTTTATAACTAAGACACTCTGGCCAAGAGCTGTTTTTCCGTGCTGCTCTTTCAGTAGGAATGAAGAGTCACAGGAGAGGTGGTTATACAGTACTACAGGCCCCGTGCACGAAATTCATGCATGGGGGTGTGGGTCCTTCAGCCCAGCCTGCACCCTCTCCAATCTGGGACACCTCGAGGGATGTCCGACTGCCCGTTTAGGCCTGGTGGGATCAGGCCTAAAAGGGAAGTCATACATCCCTCTCACAATCCAGGACTGCTGGCTCCCAACTGCTAGTTTGCCTGCCTGCCTGATTGCCCCTAACTGCTTCTGCCTGCCATCCTGATCACACCCTAACCACTCCCCTGCCAGCCTGATTGACACCTAACTGCTTCCCTGCTGGTCCAATGCCTTTAACTGCCTTCCCCTGCCAGCTTGGTCACCCTTAACTGCTTTCCCCTGCTGGCCCAGTGGCCCACAATTGCCCTCCCCTGCAGGCCTGGGTCTCTCCCCCTCCCCAACTGCTCTCCCCTGCTGGATTGATCACCCACAACTGCCATCCCTTGCTGGCCATCTTGTGGTGGCTGTATGGGGGTGGCCATCTTGTGTGTTTCAGTAATGGTCAATTTGCATATTACCTCTTTATTATATAGGATTGGCAAATGGTAGCATGATTATATACTGATAGGAATAATCCAGGATAGAGGAAGAAAGAAAAAATGGAAGCATAGTTCATAGAGGGGATACTAAAAAACTAAAGTCCTGAGAAAATTCTGGGAGACAGTAGAGAATATGCCTCAGATGTATTGCAATTAGGTGTGTGGAAGTTGGGAAATTTATTTACCAACTCACATCACTCACTGGTTGTGGGATGCTGGGAGGGCACGAATTCCCCAGCATTTCTGGTCACCCTGGGCCTGGGCTAAAGTAATTCTGGTGAGCAGAGAAAGCCATCGGGCAAAGACTCCCAAATGCTTGCAGCTAGAAGCCATTGAGTTGGCATGTACAGGAGTGGTAAGTCCCCAGGGTATATGGGGTATCAAGAGTGTCTTCTACTCTGTCTTGGTCGATGTTATCTCCATATAGAGAAAAAAACAAAAACAAAAACAATTCTGAATGATAATGAATAGGTGTGAAGAGACAAGAAAGTGTTTTAGCCATAGTTTGTGCCTTCCATCCAGACACATCTGAGCTGGGGACTTCAGATGTTAATCTCTTTGGATCTCAGTTACCTAATCTGTAGAATGGTGAGAGGTAAGTAAAAAGGATAGGGCTTCTTTTTGCAATTCTTATTTTCACTTCTTTTATTGGTAGGATAATTCCCCTTTGTCTTCATTAGATATATCAAAGCATTTCAAGTGATATACATCTGCCATTTAACCAATCCAACGTGTTACATCTCTTTTGAGTCACGGTTCAAAGCATTGTACACATCTCCAACCACTATAGCAGTCACCTGAGGATGTTAGCATTATTCCATTTTACAGGTGAAGATTCTGGTTCCAAGGGGTGACAAGGATTTACTCAAATTTAGATCCTTCTGACTTCCAGACATTCGTTTCTTATACTGCAGGGCAGTGAGATGGTGACGGCTGTCTTTGCCAGGAAAAGGAATGAGGAATCTACGTCGGATTTTTCACTAGCAGATAAGGCGGCTGCTGGTGCTGACCTGAGAGATAAGGCTGCTGCTGGTGCTGACCTGAGAGAGCAGAGTGAGGCTGTGGGAAGCCTTTCTCCCAAGCCGGCCCATCATTCCAGGCTCACTTCCCTCTCTGGGTTCCTGGGCAGCGCCGACGGGGGTGCATGAGGGTTCTGGAGGGTACCCACTAATTTAAAGTGACCAGATCGTCCCGCCACGGGACAGTCCGATTTCCAACAATTTTTCCCGCGTCCCGCGGCGTTTTAAAAAAGTCCCGATTTTTGGAAAGATTGGAAAGATTCTTTCCAAAAATCGGGACTTTTTTTTTAAACGCCGCGGGACACGGGAAAAAATTGTTCAAAAGCGGGACGATCTGGTCACCTTACACTAATTTGAAGTGTTTAACGCCGCACCGTTCCTTGTTATTCATTTCCAGTTGGGGCGAACGAAACAAGTAGCCATGGATCACAGTAAAGGTGGCAGGAGCGGATTCACCATGGCAACGCCGACGCCAATCGCCGGGAGGCGTTCCAAAACCCGTTAGTTCCGGCTCGCTGGTGACGTCACTTCCGCCCCGGCGCCGCGGCGCGCACGCCTCTCTTCCTGCTGCGCGCGAGGGGGCCCGGCGCCGAGGCGGAGGGGATCGGGGAGAATGTGAGGCCGGCACCATGGAACGGGAAGGCGGGGAGCCCGCGGCGGCCGTGGTCGCCGTGGTCACGGAGCCGCGGTTTGCCCAGCGGTGCCGGGAGTACCTGGAGAAGGAGAAGCTCTTGGACAGGCAGCACCGCGCGGCGAAGATGCCGGACGGCACCGTGGCGCTCCCGGTGCTGGGGGAGGCGCTCCCCGAGCGGCACCTGTGGCAGCTGAGGAACCGTGTGGCCCCGGGCGGCCCCTGTGCGCTGACGCGGCTCCCGGCTCCTGTTCCTTCCCGGAAGGCCCAGGGTGGTTCACCTGCCCGACGCCTGTGTCTGGAGGTGAGTCGCTGGGTGGAGGCCCGGGGAGTGACCTGGTCGTCTGAGTTGGAGGCAGATTTACCCCGATCTTGGCAACGACACGGCGACCTCTTGTTGCTGAGTGAGAACTGTTTCCAGGCTAAGCAGTGGAGAGATCTGGAACCAGAACTCTGGGAGATTGTGGCCTCGGCACTCGGCGCCCAACGTTTGGCCAGACGAGGGCGGGTGTCCCCAGGTGGCACTCGAACGCCTGCGGTGACCCTGCTGCTGGGCGGCGATGGCTGGGTTGAGCACGTGGATAACGGGATCCGATACACGTTTGACATAACCCGGTGCATGTTCTCTTTCGGGAACATCACTGAGAAGCTTCGAGTGGCGTCGCTGCCCTGTGCGGGACAGGTGCTGGTGGATCTCTACGCAGGGATCGGTTATTTCACATTGCCGTTCCTAGTTCACGCTGGCGCTGCCTTCGTCCATGCCTGCGAGTGGAACCCCCATGCTGTAGTTGCTCTGAAACGCAACCTTGAGATCAATGGAGTAGCAGATCGGTGCCAAATACACTTTGGAGACAACAGAAAGTTGAAGCTCTCAGACATTGCAGACCGGGTGAACCTGGGGCTCATTCCAAGCTCTGAAGAAGGCTGGCGCACTGCCTGCCGGGTGCTGCGGAAGGATGCTGGGGGCATTCTGCATATCCACCAAAACGTGGAATCTTTCCCAGGGAGGCACCTCCAGTCTTCTGGAAACAGTGAAACGGAGAAAGAGCCTTGGCTTTGTCCTCAGCAGATGATCAGTAACCAGTGGGAAAGCGGAGCTAGTGGGGATTCTGGGAGAAAGGTGCTGTCAGCAGCCATCAAGCCAGAGTGGCACAGGTGGGCGGAGTCTGCAGAAACTCGAATTGTCACTCTTCTTCAGGAGGTGCATGGGGAACCGTGGAAGACACAGATCTTGCGCATCCAGCCAGTGAAATCCTACGCACCCCATGTGGACCACATAGTCCTGGATCTAGAGTGCCGGCCCTGTCCTCCAGTTGGCTAGAGAAGGTGGATCCAAAGACATGAGCATCTACTTGTGAGCGAACCTTACTGCATCAGCGCAGGCCAGGTTCTCACCCCTTTGTTTCCGGTAATCTATTTTAATACAGTATTTTGCGGCCCTGCAGACAGGTTCTAGATCCATCTGGGAGAAGCAGCATGTCTCACTGAAATGAGGCCCATCTGTGCAGTCATGAGTTCCGAATCGTGACCTCTGTTCTGTCTGACCGTGGGAACATGGTTTCGGTATTCTTTTGGCATTGGATTTCCTTATTTACAAAATATGGGTTTCTTTGAATTATCTTACACAGCTTTTATTTAATGAGCAGTTGTACACAGGATGTTGGTTATCAGAGTGAAAGGCAGTGCTGTTTCCAAAGTCACTCTGGTTACAATATGGAAAATCAGCTGGGAGGTGTCCAGGATGGAAGCAGACCAGTGGGGAGGTTTGTGTAGCTGTCCAGGGATGAGGTGATGGTGGCTTCTAGTTGGTGGCAGTGGGAGGTGGATGCATTTGAGAAATAAAATCAATGTGACTAAACAATGGAGTCTATATTAAGACATTAAAATGGTGCTGCTTTATTATTAATACCGAGAAAATAGGGAGGGAAGAGTACAAAAATTACTTTAGTGTATTAATTCTATTCCTCTATTTAGGCATTCCTAATGAGTGTTGGGAGGAGAGTGATGTCTTCAATATTGGGCTTATTGTGGTAGAAAGGATGAAATGACTACTTTAAATCATAGGGAAACTAGATTTTTAGTCTTAAGCTGTGCAATAGCTGCCAATTACGAGCGTTTTTTGTTTTTTAAACCTCATTCGAGGATATGCTTATTGATGAGAGAGGGGAAAGAAGAGAGCATGAGAGAAACTTGTATGCAAGAGAGAACATTGATTGGCTGCCTTCCATGTGTCCCTTGACCAGTGATTGAACCAGCACCCTAACTATGTGTCCTTAACTGGAATCAAACCTGAAAACTCGTATGTGGATGGCACACCAACCAACTGAGCCATACCAGCCAGGGCTTGCTAGCTAGTTTAAAAGTTTGAATTAAAACCTTAAATTTTTAAAGGGCTCAGACTCTCTTTTCCTCTTCCTTCCCTAATCAAGAACATCAGGACCAGGAGGAACTATAGGGAAAGTGAGGTGTTCTGCAGTTTTTTATTTTATGTCATCACCACTGTTTACCCTTTGGATGACTAATTGTAGGGAATCATTCTGTTTACCTTTAGAATGTCTAATTGTGGAGAATCACTTCTCAGAGCCTTATTTTGGTGCACTTTGAAGCCTGGACTTGTTTATCTGATAGGGGAAATAGATAACAGCAGGTTGCTTTATCAGGATTATGGTTGTATCTGGCATTTGGTTAGCTGGGGTTGGGCTGGGCTGCTTGTCCTTTTTGCAACAGTGGCTGGAAACCAGACAGGAGCGGTGTGTTTGTGTTATTCTGTAAATATTAAGTGAGTACTATACATATGGGCCACAGGAAATGTATTCACTAGACACAGACACAGTTCCTGTCTCTGAGAAGCTGACACACTAGCAGCTGATACACAAATACTCAAAAGAATTTGAAGACGATGGAGTAAGTGCCATATGAGTGATAGCATGTTGTAGGAGTGCTAAGGTGAGGAAAAGAGGTTCAAAACAGCTAATTCTTTATTGGAAAGGGAAGGATCAGGCAGTCTAATTTGCTCTGTTCCCACCCTCACCTCACCTCTAATACAGTGTTAAATTGTTCCCACTTTCAGAGAGAATGCCTCCAGTGTGTTTCACCATTAAGTGATATCCTTCCTCCGTTAGGCATATCCATAGAGTCCCATTACATTCTGTGTGTATGTGTTTTATCTTCCTTTTTCCTCTGTATTGTTCCTTTCATCATAAACGCAGAGGTGTGGGGCTGTTTCTACACTTCCTCTTCTGTTCCACGGGTAAGTTTTTCTATTCATGCACCAAAACCACCTTGTCTGAATTATTATAGCTTTAAAACAAGTCCTGGTAACTTCGTTCAAGATTGCATTATTTATTCTTGACCTTTTGCATTTTCTTATGATGTTAAAATCAGCTTGTCAATTTTTGGGAAAAAGAATCTGTTGAGTTTTTTTTGTTGGGATTACATTGGACTTATAGGGTAAAATTGGCATTGTTACAATATTGAATCTTCCATTTTGAAGCTTTTGTTTTACTCATTTGGGTGTAGCTATGAAATGATAAATGATTTAAAAAAAAATGAAAGGTGTTATCAGAAGCTGGGACTACAGTATACCATCTAAGGTGAAGGGTTCTATACTTCCCATGTCAGTGGGATACTATATCCATCTTCTTTGTGCTCTCTGCCTTGATAGATATGTTTTTAATTTAGTATTACTTTACTCTTCCTTTCAGCAGAACCTCAGCCCTCAGATTATTCTTGACCATAATCCTAGAAAATTAACATATTTGAACCTGTCATCTATTTATATTCTAATATAAATTAAATTACTGCTGAATAATTATCACATATAACAACCCAAAGTAATAAACAATATCTTCACAGTACTACTGAGCCATAAATGGAGTCATTGCTAAGTGTTATATAAAGCTTCCACTGAGTATTTCTCTTAACATTTGTTTACCAATGTTACATACTAAGCAAGCTACATACTAAGTATTAAACTATATTGTTATAATTTGTGTAACAAGCATGAGAAATTCCTTGCAGAGGATTAGACCTTGAGCTCCAGAATCAGAAAAATAAGGGTTAGAAACCTGACTCTGCCACTGTCACTGTCTGTGTCCTTGGACAAGTTTGTTGAAGATTGATTGGATAATGCATGTCATGTATTTTGTTTTATATTAAACTTTATTTCTTTTTACAAGATGAAGATACTGATGACTAGAGAGTTTCAGTACTTAAAGGCAATAGTTAGAGGCAAAAGTGGACAGACATGCTGCCAAGCTTATAGTGCTCAGTAAATGTCTGTTGAATGAATGAATGAACCAAAAGTCAGGTAATGTAAACCCAACATTGATTCCATACGCCATTATACTCTTTGTTATTTCCTTTGTTAACTAAACAACAATAAACTGTTCCTGTTAATTTGGCACTTACAAAACCAGAAAATTCAAATAGCTAAATTTTGATGTGCATATCTGAAATTTAACGATGAGAGAGAAAAACTGAAGCTCCCCTAAGGCAATGTTTCCCAAACTTTTGACATATGTGTACCCCTTCTATAATTTTCATAACTCTGAGTACCCCTCGTACTCATGAGAACGTAGAATTGGGCGCAGCTAAGCACGGTTCAGTGCATATCCCCACCAAATTCGGGTGCCATGCGTACCCCCACCAAACTCTTCCCGTACCCCTGGGGGTACGTGTACCACACTTTGGGAAACACTGCAGGTAATTTAGGACCAGAGATTATTTTTTAAATACTTCCTGAAGTTTGAGATAAAGTTATGTATTTGTCCCTTTTGGGGCTATTACTCTCTATCTTTCCTACCAGCTTCCTTATATTCCATTTAAAGGAAACACTCAGTACGTTGGTGGGGAGAGTAAGTGCCTGTTTCCTACTGCTTCCTCCCGACCCTAAGGAAACTGCTAGTACTTGTCTGAGGCACAGTTCCGGTACAGATACATGGTCCAATAAGCTCCACCAATTGCACCGTCATTCTTGGAACTTGAAATCTGAAGGAATAATGATAGCCCAGAATCAGTTTCTGTTGTTTGGAGCAAAGACTTGGCTGATGAAAATGTCCACAGAAAAGTCAAACTAGTTTTTACACATCATATTGTTTAAGAGGCATTTGAATCATTAAACCTGAATGAACAGATTATTTTTGACCACGGGTAATTTATGTATATAAGGGGTGTGTGTGTGTGTGTGTGTACACTGTTCTGGGTACTCAATATAAATATATACCTGAGTTGTGCAACATTCAAATCAATGTAGAAACCAAACAAAGATTAAATTCAGTGAATTATAGCTATTTTGTTGAAAGCTTTGCTTTTATTTAAGATTCCTAAGCAGCCACATACTACCGCATTGATATAAATTTAGGTTTAAAGTAGTATTTTAAACTATTTGTCAGGATCTTTTTTAAAAAAATATTTTTTATTAGAGAGGAAGAGAGAGAGATAGAGAGCTAGAAACGTCGATGAGAGAGTAACATCGACAAGCTGCCTCTTGCACACCTTCTACTGGAGACGTGCCCACAACCAAGGTACATGCCCTTGACCGGAATTGAACCCGGGACCTTTCAGTCCGCAGAGCGACGCTCTACCACTGAGCCAAACCAGTTTCGGCTATTTGTCAGGATCTTAATCATACCTTCCTTTTATGGGTGAAGAAAGTGCAACTTAGAGAGTTTAAAGAAACTTAACTTGAAGTTATATGTGAGAAAGATAAGAATGACTATGCCACCAGTCCTGAACGTACTTGGCCTAAGATGGAATTTAGTTTGAATATATATATATTGATTTCAGAGAGGAAGGGAGAGGGGGAGGGATGAGATGAGAAAGAATCATGGATTGGCTGCCTCCTGCATGCTCCTACAGGGGGATTGCATCTGCAACCCAGGCATGTGCCCTCACCTACCAGGAATCGAACCTGTGACCTCCTGTGACTACTGAGCCACTCTGGCTGGGCAAATTAAAAATTCTTATAAAATTTGTGCATAAAATTAAGATTGGAAACTTAAAACATTAACATGAACTGAAGGGCATTTGCTCATTTTAAAAACATTTTTATTTAATATTTACTACACTTTTTAAATAAAAATTGGAGGAAACTCATGAACTATTTTATTTTCCATTTTGCATGATCATAATATAATGGTACTTACCTCCTGTCTCCTTACCATACTACTCTTTTAGATTAATCCTTGTGGGCCTTTTTCTCCATAATAGCCTTTCTCTTTTTCCTTTAAATTGCAATTAGGACAGAATAACAGATGGGCTGAGTAGCTAATTTACATCTTTTAAGTTTCCATATAAGCCTTCATAGTTGTCTCCTCTTACCAAGTTTGCTTTCCTTTGGGAATTCTGTCAAAACCACAAGATATTCCCCAGGTGTGCAGTTTAGGAAAATTAACCTAGCAGAAGTAAACAGATTGGATTAGAAAAATGGTGATCAAAATGATATTCAGTAAATAGGCAAGCTACAGTAGGATCTTGGGTTAGAATACTGACAGTGACAACAGGAAACAGATACAAGAGACTGTCTAGAAAAAATGAGTAAGATTTGGTTGCAGATTGGCTGTGGGTGAAAAGAGGAAGGAGTCAAAGATGCCTGAAGTTTAAGATCCAACTAGCCTTGGGTTTGAATACTGGGTTTGACTTTTCAGGAGCTCTGGCCGTCCGTACTGGCCACTTAACTTTTGTTAACGTATCTAAGGCTCAGTTTCCCTCCTCTCTAAGATGATACCTATCCAAGTAATGCTGACACAAAGATGTAATGAAAAAGTAACACCTTTAGCTCAGTGCCCACTCTATGGGAAACACAGATGGCTGTCATTATTAGTAGGGGATGACATAGACGGTTAAAAACGTGAGACTGTAGTGAGGAGTTTGGATGTGGGTTCAATCGTTCTACCACACCTACCTCCACTTAGAGAAAGGGGTCTTGGAGCTTCATTCATCACCCTTTAAGAGCCCTGATATAAAGTGAATTGCAGAGTGCAGTTTGGGCTAGGACCCTAGGAAATCAGATTCTTACTATTTTACCCTCCTTAATTTGAGATGGCTGGGTCTACAGTGCAGACTCTGACCTGACTTACATTCGTATATTCCTTTTTTTTATTATTAGTTTTACCATTAAACTTACTGGGATGTCATTGGTTAATAGCTAATTTACATTCCTGTTTTCTGGTGAAGAGAAAAATAAGTATGACCAGGTTAGTATAGGCTTCTTTCTAGGGGTAGTAACTGGGAAGGTAAATATGGGGGGGAAACTAGTGGAAGATGATTAGTAAGGTTAGTGGGTGATTCAGAGTCGGAGAGAGGGAGACACCTTTACAAATGGACATTGATGTCCGGATTTCTAAGCAAATGTGTTTTGGGGGCGTGGAGGCAGAGAGCTTCACTTAGGAGAGGGGGGTGCTTCAGCCCTTTCTTGTTTTTAGCTAAAAGTAATCCTATGTCAAAGGGGCATACTTCGGGGTGGCACGTTCTGATCCCCACAAAACAAGAAAACTGTGACCTCTCCTGCCTGGGAGGAAAGAAGGGACTGCCGGGGCAGCTAGAAAACTAGACCTGGGGTTCCTGCCCATAGTTCACAGTGACCCTTGACATCTGTAAAACGTGGCCGATAAGTGTCCTCAGTTCTGTCCAGCTTGGGAGGAGGCGGTCAGGGTGATGTGCAAAGGGATGAGGGATGTTTTTCTCGGTAGCGCCTACAACACCTAGCCCGGAGCCACCGTCCGCGGCGGCTCCGTAAAGGGCCCGCAGACACGCCTCCAGGAGGTCTTTCCCCAGAAAGTCGGCCGACCGGCCCCATCTCCGAGCCGCCGCCGGGTCGGGTGAGTAGGTGGGGCGGGCGGCGCCCTTTGACTTTCCTCCTCTCAGGCACCTTTGAACCAGGTTTATAGGGCACTTAATGGGCTCTAATAAAACAACAAAGAACTCCCGACCGTGGAAGCAGGGGGAGCCCTCCCTGCGCCCAGGCTGCCGGGGTGGGGCGGCCGCTCTGAGGATGGAGGGCGCGGCTGCCGCGGAGCGCCTGCGCCCCGGCAAGGCTCCCAAACAGCCGAGGCTGCGAGGGTCCCGGTGGTGAGCGGGAACCATGGAAACGCTTTGAGACGTTGGCTACGCCACGCCGTACGTGATGACGACATTGGAGCGCCCCTAGCGCCCCGATTGTGACGCGACAGCGGCGCGGTCTCCCCGGTCTCGCGTGACCTGGGGCGCCGCCGCAGCCTCCCAACAGCCCCAACGGCAGAGGCCCGCGGGCGAGGTCAAGATGGTGGCTCCGCGGGCGGGGGTGGCGGTGGAGGGAGGAGGAGCCAGGCCTTAGCCAGCCGAGAACACCGACACCCAGAGGCCTCCCGGGAGCCGCCGCCGCCTGCTCCTGCTCGAGAGACGCGAGCGGGCGGCGGGCGGGTCGTGAGAGACCGGGGAGGAGGGGGCGGAGCCGCCGCCTCAGCCCCCGCCCCTGGCCGCCGTCCCGGGCCTGCCCCGCGCGCCCAGCCCCGGTGCGGCAGCGGCTCATGGCAGCAGTGGGGCCCCCGCAGCAGCAGGTGCGGATGGCCCATCAGCAGGCCTGGGCAGCGCTCGAAGTGGCGCTCCGGGTGCCCTGCCTCTACATCATCGACGCCATCTTCAACTCTTACTACGATTCCAGCCAAAGCCGGTTCTGCATCGGGCTCCAGATCGTCCTCCGGCTCCTCGGTAAGGGGGAGGGGCGGCCTGCCTCCCGGGACGGGACGCGCCGCCGGGGGCGGGCAGCCGCGTGCAGGCCGAGGTCGTGTGTGTGTGAGAGAGACTGTGACAGTCAGCGTGAGGCCGTGAGGAAGTGTGTGAGACTGCGTGTGAGGGGGACAGACAACCAGGTTCGTCCCCACGGGCGCCCTCGCGGCCGGGACCGGGAGGGGTGGCCCGGGGCCCGCGCGGCCGCGGAGGGCGCTGCTCCGGGAGTCACCGCTCCTCTCGCCCCGGAGCGCGGCGGAGGGAGGGCGCTCTGCCCGCCGCGTCTCGTGGGGAATGAGCGCTGACTGCCGCTTCCTGGGCGACAGCACCTCTGCTCGCCCCTGCCCCTGCCCCTGCCGCGCCGTGGGTAACCTCGGACTGGTGCTTTGGGCCTCAGTTTCCTTCTTTCCAAAATGCGGAGTGCTCGTCTGTTGTCACTTCTTGTATCGACGGGGTTTTAACGCGAAGGCGAAGTGTCTGCGGTAAATGACATCCAAACGAAAGGGACAGGGTGTTGAATGTCAGACCTTGAAACCCTGACCAAAAGCCCTTATGGAGAAGGCGATGTCTATAAGGAGTTCTAAAATTTTCCGTGAATAAAGTATCGAGGTGTTCAAAGAAAAAAAATGTGGCTAGAAAGCGATGAGACTTCTCCAAGAGAGACTTCTGGAAATCGGTTTTGCTGACATTTGCGTGAAGTGTTGAAAAGCCTCACGTGTTTGACTCCCCATCTTCACTTGCACCATCAAAGGGAAAAGCACTTAGGTGTAAAAGAATTTAGGTGATTGCAACTGGACAAATTTTGTTGATGAGGTAATTCTTGTGATGAGCTCTTGGTAGGCTAGTGCTTTGAAGTGTTGCTGATAGATCCTTACCAAACCTCTCTGAATTATGAGCCATCTGTTGCTTCTTTATTCTTACAAAAGGAAAGTGATAATGTTGAGTTCTGTTCTTAGCAATAAGTAGCAATGTTTTACTTTTCACTGGTATTATCTAACCTAATGTCTAACCTTCAAAAATCCCTCAGAGGTGGGAGGTGGTATTCTCATTTTACAAATGAGAAAACAGGGTCAGAGGTTGTGTTTTGCTTTAGGTACACAGCAAAGAAGTGGTTGCCAGAGCCTAGGCTAAAAATCTTCTGACATCAATAGTGGTTGACTTTTCTCACTCAGTTCAGCTCAATCTAGATACAGAATGGTATGGTAATGATCCCATGCTAGATCTTAAAACTAACCGATGTGAACATGCCGTTGAAGAGCACAAGACTTATCAGTAACCCACCAGCTGCTGACACCAGCTAGTCCTACTGCAAAAGGGTAGTGCCCTCATTATCTGTGGCAAAAATGGAGCTGTGCGATTTTGTAATGTATACAAATATCAAACACCTGAAACTAATCCGTTATGCACTTGAAACTAATGCAATACTATGTCAATTATAGTTAAATTTAAAAAACATTCACCAGCTTTGATGTTTCATACTTAATATATTTTATTTAATTCTGACAGTTATGGGTGAAGTTAATGTTAAAATGAAATTAATAAGAAGTGAGGCTGTTGGGAAGGCATTTTATTCCTGCCAACATGCAGTCACTTAGTATAGTAAGGTGATCCCAGTTGAGTCAGCCTGCAACCCTGCCTTCACCCTCCCCAGCAGAGAGCAGAAGATAACAGGCTTCTAGGGCACTTTATCAGATTTGGGGTAAATGGGATAACCAAGTGCAGCTTTGGGAACTAAGTAATCACATATAACAGGACTTGAGGTTAGGAGGATGGCTATTCTCATTTCTGATTTGAGAAGAGCCCATGGTGGAGGAGGAAAAAAAGGGGGGTGGGAAACTTTGTTCGAAAGGATTCACATGTTTATTGCCCAAAGAGTGTAGCTGCTGCCTTGTTCTGAAAACCCTTTTGGGTCCAGGTGCTGAGAATTTGAAATGCAGTGCTCTCAGAGTTGAGCTAGGGAACTTTAAGGAAAAGGTGTATTCTCCTTAATTGAATAATTCATGGTTTAAGAACATAGAACAAAAGTAATAGTATTTTTTTTTTTGTAACCTATCCTGCTTATTTTTGTAGTAAATCATGGAAGTTTGTATTTGATAAATCATAAGAATAAGATGTCAGGCAGGTTACTTAGTTGTGTAATGCCTCCTTGTTCTTATCTATATCTTTTTAAAGATGTACAGTAATGGTATTTCTCTCATAGGGTGTGAAGGACAAGAAACTCTTGGGATCTAGTAAGGGTTAGCTAATAGTAAGCTTGATAGTTAAATTTTTTTTTTAAATACTTCAATTAAAACCATACTATGTTGCTCAGCTGGTGTTGCTTAGTGAATTGAACCTTGTCCCAAGGACCAGGAGGTGCCGGGTTGGATCCCGGTCAGGGTACATGGTTGCAGGCTCCAACCCCAGGAGGAGGCATGCAAGAGGCAGCCAATGATGTTTCTCTCTCATTGGCGTTTTTTTTGTTTTTGTTTTTCCTCTCTCTACCTCTCTCTTCCTATCTGAAAATCAATAGGAACATATATTTTTTTAAACAACCATACTGTGTTACAGATATTTTGGTCTTTTAAAGGCATCAGAGAAATGTTGACAGTTTATTTGAAAAAGTTTATCAAAATATTCTCTGAGTCAGACTTTATGAGAAATACAAAATTTTTTCAGATCCATCACCTGGCTGTTCCTTAAATTTTGCCAATGTAATTATGCTAGTTTTTCACATTTGTAAATGATAACTTTTTTTTAAAAAGTGGTTTTGGTGCTAAAAAACTAAACAAACATCCTGAATAAAGCAAGTGTGTTTAGTATTTAAGGCCTATTCAACGAGTGAGGCATTTTCCCGAGTTTTTTGAGAGTGGCAGGTTTGTGTGTGCGATACCAAAGGATAGTTAAATTAATTGTTCTACCTGTTTTTTTTGTTTTGTTTTGTTTTAGTGATTATAGCCCTTTTTAAAAATAATTTATACACTGTTGTATATAAATCGTAAAACTTGGCAGTCTGATCTTTTTTTTTTAAATAAAATTGTAAAAGTGGAAATCTATTTTCTAAGTAAAAAAAAAGCAGTACCAATTTTATTTTATTTTTTAAGATATATTTTTATTGATTTCAGAGAGGAAGGGAGAGGGAAAGAGATAGAAACATCAGTGATGAGAGAGAATCATTGATTGGCTGCCTCCTGCACACATCCCACTGAGAATTGAGCTCAAAACCGTGGTATGTGCCCTGAGTGGAATTGGACCTGGGACCCTTCTATCAAAAGGCCCATGCGCTCGCCACTGAGCAAACCAGCTTCTCCCTGGTCTGGGCCCTGGTTTGTGTACATGCCTGCAGGAGGCAATCACTGTAGTACCAATTTTATATATAGCATCTGAAGAATTTACTTTCTTTCCCTACAATAAAGTACTACAACTGAGAGTTTCAGGGGATTAGAAAATAAAGCATCTAATTTTGGAGATCCAAATAAAATCTTATCAGAATATATAGAATGTTTAGCTATTCTTAGGAGGTGTTAAATGCTAAATGAAATGCAACCCAGTGCAGCATAATGCTGAATTGGCATATCTAAATCCAAGGCAGAAAATGAAAGCATAGGACTTTGTTTTAATAGTATTACTGAATTGGAAAAGCAATTCACTGAAGTGGAAAAGCAATCCAGAAATTACAAGGGAAATTTAAATGAAAAGCTTTTATGACAAAACTCTTTTAATTTCTTAACAATGGCACATTGAGGGGAAAATGTTTTATCATATGAGATTGAAGTCCTAAAGGTTTTGTCAGTAAGAAAAACTACTTCTAGAGAACAATGGGCCTAAAATAAGCAGTTCACAATAAATGAAATGCAGATGGGGTCAATAAGCAAAAGAAAAATTACTCAGCCTCATTTATAATTAAATAGTTAAAACAAAACTTCACTTATTACATTAGTGAAGAGTTCAAAGTTTGAATAAAAACTGGTAAGGTAAAACTTTTTTTCCCTTTCTGTAAAATAGGTAGAGTTATACAATTTTTGTAGGCTGTCACTTCTGTGTAAAGCCATTTGGCACTATCAGCTGAAAGTCATCATATTCCTTTTGACACACAATTTTATTTCTAAGAATTTGACCTAAAAATAGTTGTACAAACACTATGCAAGGATATTCATTGCAGCATTCTTGGTAATGACAAAACAACAAATTGTTCACTAAATGTCTATTAAAAGGGAATCTGTTCATTGTATTGGGTTCAGCCATACAATAAAGTTGATAAAAAGAATGAGATATAGTTATTTTTGGTGCTATAGAAAGAACTCAGAAAACTTGTGATGTGAAAAACAAAAAAATAGTAAGTAATCAGGACGGCATAAGGATAGACTATGTATTCTAAGCTTTGACAGGAATTTGAGACAAGACAATTCTTTGTTGGGGGGTGGGTGGAGCTGTTCAGGAATTTGTAGGATTTTTAACAGCATCCGTGTTCACTGCCCATTAGATACCAGTAGCACCCCATTTGAGATTGCCGAAACATGTCTCTAGATATTGTCAGATGACTCCTGAGGGAAAACAAATAGACCACTGGGATAAACAAATAGACCGAGAGCACAGACTAGAAAGCCCAGAAATAGACTACCCAGGTGTACTGGCATATAGAAACTTGGTGTGTTTCAAGAAGTACATTGAGGTATGTAGAGGTAAATATAGACTATTCATTTTTGGTCATTTAATTATCCATATGGGAAAAATTATACTGGATCACTACCTCATATCAATATATAAATAGTTCTAATGGATTAATGCTTATATGTGAAAAGCAAACTTTAAAGAAAATAAAGAACATGTGTTTTTTTAAAAAATCTTAGAGGAGGAAAAATTCTTTTAAAATATACAAAAACAAATGTGTAAAATATTGATAAATTCAACAAGACTAAAATTTAAAATCTCTATTAACCAAAAGGAAGCATCAGAAAAGTGAAGAAGAATCGCCACAGACCTGGAGAAGATGTTTGCATTAC